TGTCGACAAGATGATTATTTTCCACCATGGTTTAAATTTTTAAATAATACAAATTCAAATATTCTGTCAAATAATAAGCAATACACAACAACTGTTGTCTTAGCATATTTTCCATTAAATAAATCTAAATATAATAAAGGTCAGTATCAGTTATGGCTTGAAAATCTATTAAGATTTTGTCAATCACCTATCATTATATATACATCAATTGAATATCAACCCATTCTACAACAACTTCGTCAAAATAATTCATTAAGAACTCATTTTATCGTGGAATATAATTCATCGCTTGAAATGCCACCAGTAAAAAAACTTGTTCCTATCTTTGAACAACAATATCTCACTGATCCTGAACGTGCATATCACTCTGTTGAATTGTATGCTGTATGGTGTGCTAAATCTTTTATACTCAATCGAAGTGTCGAACTTAATCCTTTTCAAACAAAATATTTTCTCTATATTGATGCTGGAGCTTTTCGATCTTCTAATTATCGTTTTGAACGGTGGCCATACGAACCTTCAATACATTCAATTCTTGCTAATAACAGACTTCTTCTTGGTATGATTTCTCCACTTTCTCGTCAGTTTTGTCCACTATCATATACTGTAAACAAAGGTCCCGTTCGACATGATCTTATTGAAGGCGGTTTAATTGGTGGCACGAGTGATGTTATTCACTGGTGGACATCAATGTTCTATGAAACTATTAATAATTATATTTCAAAGAATTTTTTTATTGGAAAAGATCAGTATTTAATGAATGCTATTGCACTTACATATCCTCATCGAATCAATATGATGCTTTCATTTCGTACGTCGTGTGGTAATATATGGTTTGCTTTCGGACCATTATTAGCAAACCAAGCTGAAAAACAAAAATTGGCCTTTTCAATCACTTGTCAACATCAGAATTTATCTGAAGTTATCATTACTTTCGAAAATATTTGCAATGATTCTAGAAATATTATATAACAGATGAGTCAAATGAACTAAATATATACCTTTATCTTTTATAAATAGATGTAATAATTACAGATGTATTTTCTTTTCGTTTATTAGTTACTATTTGATATCTAATGTAAATTATTATTTAAAAAGATTTTATTTTCAGATGACTCAAAATAATATGATGTTCATTAAATATCTATTATTAATCTTTCTAAGTATTTGCATACTCTTTGTATTGTTTCGTCGAATAAGTACAAATAATAATTCAGAGATCAAGTTATCGATTAATCATAGAACTTGTGTCTTTGAAGCAAATCGTCGAGCACATAATTTTAATTATACAAATGGATGGCAAGTGTATTCAAGTCTTCCAGTTATCGAGAGAAAAATGAACAGATCATGGTATTGGAATGAAGAAGAACGATTTCGACCATTAGATTTACCAAACAAGACATGCACGATTATCTATTGTGGAGCTAATACAGCTGGAACTGATGGTCTTCATTTTGCACTTGCATATCCATCATGTCATATTTATTTTCTTGAACCAGTACTTCCATTTTACGAAGAATTAATACATTCTTCTCGTATACGAAACCTTTTGACAAGTGATCGTTCATCATTATATCATATATATCCATTTGGACTATCAAATCGATCATATTTGGTTAATATTAATGAAAAGTCTTTCTCTCAAGGACAAAGTTTATCTTTAACCGATCATACACAGTCATTATCAAACAATTATTATAAACTCATTGTTCGAGATGTTGCAGAAATTTTATTTGAATTTAAAATATTGAAAAAAACGGTCTCATCAATTGAAAATGAACTTAGTTTATTACATATGAATTGTGAAGGATGTGAATACGATGTCGTTGAGAGATTATTGACAACAGGACTCATAAAACACATTCGACATCTTCAATTTGGATCTCATCGACCGATTGAAATACAATCAACAGTAGCGGAACGTTATTGTTCCATTCAAAATTCTCTCAATATATCACATGATCGTATTTTTGGAATTCCATGGGGTTGGGAAAGATGGACTCATCGAAATCTTTCAATATCAAACCTATAAGTGAAACTAACGCGTTTTTTTTAATGATTTTGTCTGTTTAAATAAAACCGTCGATGATGAATAATATGATGTATATCACGATATATTGATCTTTCCTTCATGTATATGTATATCAAAAATATTTTAGGCACATGTTTGTTCGCTCGTTCTTTCTTTCTTCTTCGATAGTATTGATGAGACGCTTCATATCGAAGGTGACTACTTTTTGTATAAATATTATTATCCAAATAAAACGTGTATGTCGTTGATAAAACATACTCAATGAAAAATATTTACCAAAGACCAAATGATGAATATCAGAAATTGATCAATAATAATCATTCTCAACAGCAATTATCTCGTCTCGAATTGGCAGAGTCATCATGGACTCGATGCTTACATCTATTATGCTGGTCGTGGATTACTCCTACTCTTTCTATTGGTTACCAACGAGTATTAACAGAGAACGATCTTGATGTTTTACCAAACAGAGACAAATCGTCTGTTTTATTAAATCGACTAGAATCATATAATTGGGCATCGACATCGACATGGCGAATAATAATTCGAGAGTTTTGGAGAGAATACATAATGCCAGGATTATGTTATTTTCCCTATCTATTTTCACGTATTATTCAACCATTACTACTTCGTCAGGTTGTCTTCAGTATGATGAACAAAGATGCGTCACTTCTGGTAACTTATATATTTGTCATACTGTTATGTTTATTTGGTGTTGTACAATACATCTTGGACCATCTAATATATTTCCTTTCATTTCGTACGGCCTTACGAATTCGTAATACACTCATGTCGGTCATTTACAGACGCTCCTTATCTATTACATCAACAACGTGGCAGCAAATGAATACTGGACAAATGATTAATCTAATTGCCAATGATACTGCGAAATTTGAAGAAATGTTCTCACGTTTTCAAAATGTGTTAGGAGGAATTGTAGAGACTATCGTTGTATTTATCTTATTGTGTTGGTTAATGGGAACAATACCGACATGTGTCACTTATTTTATACTTATTTGGAACATAATCGTACTATTACTGATTAGTCGTTACGTGAGCCAGTATGACGATCTCAAAGCTTTCTACAGTAATAAACGTGTTCATGCATTGAACGAATTTATTCATGGATGCCATACTATTAAAATGTACAACTGGGAAAGTTCCATGGAAGATCGAATACGTCACATGCGGCAAGAAGAGTTAGGTACCTTACAACGTATCTATATTTTACGGAGTCTTAATTCTATTCATAACTCCATCTTAATACCACTTCTTGCACTTACTATGTTCGGTACTTCTTGGCTGTTAGATTATCCATTGAATGCTGTTGACTGTTTTACAACTCTAACATTTTTTGGCCTATTACGAAACCAAATTATGTTTCTCATGCCAGCAATAACCGAAAGATTAACAGATGTACAAGGTGCCTCGAAGAGAATCGATGCATTCATGCGCTCGACAGCAACAACACAAAATCAGCACTCGTCAAAATCTTCATCTCATGACTTACAGCCAGGGCACATCTTCATGTCCAACGCTTCTTTCGCTTGGTCCCATGATCAGCCTTGTCTTTCGTCACTGAATATTAACATCAAATCAGGTACTTTTGTTGGCATTGTTGGAACAGTTGGAGCTGGTAAATCATCTCTTCTTGCTGCCATTCTAGGTGAAATGATTTTGATTGATGGTCAATTAATGACATATGGAAGTTCATTTTCTTATGCACCTCAATCAGCATGGCTATTCGCAGACACCATCAGAAATAATATTCTTCTAAATAAAGCATTTGATGAACAACGCTATCGAGATGTCATTCACGCCTGCTGCCTCGATGTTGATCTTAGTTTAGTTGGAGTAGCCGGTGATTTGACAATGGTTGGAGAAAGAGGTGTTAATCTAACGAGGGAAGGCCACCAACTGTCCCCTCGCTTTTGGGCTGAAACTCAGTTGACAATCGGTAATCGAGTGTGCTGATTCCGAATATCACGATGGTTTCTGCCCGCTTGCACTTTAGAGACCCGTTTTTCAAAGATCTTGGTTGTTCAAGCGAGAACCCATTTTCACTAAAAAATTTTTTTGACGTGCCCAAATGGAAGAACACATTATTAAACCTACAAAAAACAATTTTCCAAGGTTTTGAGCGAGTTGTCTCCGTCTAAAACTTCAAAAAAAAGGGAAAAACTGCCAATATTCTTACACAATTTATGAAAAAAACTACTGTTGTTTCTTCTATTCTTTTTTAAGTTTTAGACGGAGACAACTCACTCAAAACTTCGCTTAGAACCTTGAAAAATTGTTTTTTGTAGGTTTAATAATGTGTTCTTCCATTTGGGCACGTCAAAAAAAATTTTTAGTGAAAATGGGTTCTCGCTTGAACAACCAAGATCTTTGAAAAACGGGTCTCTAAAGTGAAAGCGAGCAGAAACCATCGTGATATTCGGAATCAGCACACTCGATTACCGATTGTCAACTGAGTTTCAGCCCAAAAGCGAGGGGACAGTTGGTGGCCTTCCCTCGTAAGTGGCGGACAAAAAGCTCGAGTATCATTGGCGCGAGCATTATATCATGAAGCTGATATTTATCTAATCGATGATCCATTAGCAGCTGTGGATGATACGGTCGCTAAACAGATCTATGAAAGATGTTTTAGTTCACAAGGATTTTTGAAAAACAAAACTTGCCTTTTGATAACTCATCAGATACAGTTTCTCGTTGATGCAGATCAAATCATCTTTCTCTCACATGGTCACATCGATGAAAAAGCCCATTTAGATAAGTTTCTACTGTCAAAAGACGTAGAAACGAAGAAGGAAACATCCGAATTGGATAATCTGATCAATGACAATACATTGGCAGCTGATTCTCAATCAATCATTGCTGAAGAGATATCAGTTAGTGGCAAAGCAAATTGGAGTTTATGGTATCGTTTATTTATTATGTCACCGTTGGGTATCTGTGGTTTTTGTTTATTGATTTTACTACTCATAATCGGTGAAATATTCTACGATGGTACAAACTATTGGCTTCGAATCTGGTTGAAACATTCTTCTGCTGATCAACAACGTTTTCCAACACTTGCTTATATCTATTTTGGATTGAGCATTACTACCATAGTGGCAGATGTGCTACGTGTTATCTTCTCTTTCTATATTATTCTACATGGTACGAATAATCTACATAATGGCATGCTCAAAGGTGTATTACATACATCGATACAGTTCTTTGAAAGTAATCCAAGTGGACGAATTCTCAGTCGAGCAAGTAAAGATCAGAAGATTCTCGATGAAGTATTACCGACTGTTCTAATACCTACTATGAAGGCAATCACATTGTCAGTAGGTTCGATTGTGGTAATCTGTCTTGTTAAACCATATATTTTACTCGTCATTGTGGCACTAATCCCTTTTGTCTTACTATTGTGTCGTTTCTATCTACGATCGAATAGTCAACTGAAACGACTTGAAAGTGCAACTCATAGTCCAATTTATGATCTTCTTTCGTCATCACTCCATGGTTCAGTAAGTGTGCGTGCATTTCGAGTCCAAGAACATTTCATGACTGTTTTCACTGATAGAATAGATCGAAACACACGTACTTCCATCAATACACGAGGTGCCGGACGATGGTTTGCCATGCGACTCAATCTCTTACCTTTCATCAATACGTTCGCCACTGCAATCCTGTTAGTCATTTATCGTCATGAGATCGATTCATCTCTCAGTGCATTCTTATTGATGTATGCTATTTCCATACCGAAATCGTTTCAATTAGCTCTTCAGCAATTGTTCGAGGCAGATCTATTAATGACAAGTGTCGAACGAATATATGAATACTCACAACTTCCACCTGAAGAAGATCAAGGTGGTCATCAACGTTTAATCAACACTTCACCGAACTGGCCAATACGTGGAACAATTGACTTTCGAAACTACTTCTTATCTCATCGAGCAGGTCTCGACCCAGTATTGAAAAATATCAATATACAAATTAGATCTGGTGAAAAGATTGGTATCATAGGTCGAACTGGTGCTGGAAAATCATCTCTCTTCAAAGGTATCCTTCGTTTCATACATAGATCGAATGTTCAGGGTGTAGTGCTTATCGATGATATCGATATTAGTCGCATTACACTGCAACAACTTCGATCTCATCTCAGCATCATTCCTCAACAACCTGTTCTATTCAGTGATACTCTTCGATACAATCTTGATCCATTCAATTTCTATTCGGATGAACAATGTTGGATGGCACTGGATGATGTGCAATTGAAACAATTTGTGAGCGATCATCCAATGGGTCTTCAGATGTTGATCACTGAATCAGGTAGTAATTTGAGTGCCGGACAATGTCAGTTGATCTGTATTGCTCGAGCAATCTTAAAGCAGAGTAAAATCTTATTGATCGATGAAGCAACATCTAATGTTGATCAAAAAACAGATACCATCATTCAAACAGTAATTGCTAACAAATTTCGTGATAGAACTGTTCTGACTATTGCACATCGACTGAATACCATAGCTCAAAGTGATCGAATTCTTCTACTAGATGAAGGTTTGGTAGTGAATTTTGATACGCCCAAGAATATTTTACAACAATATCAACAACCATGTTAAAGACTTTATTTTTCTAATCATTAACAACTCATTTTCATATTTATTTTTTATATTCGTTCGGTCTATATATCATTTAATACAACTATTAAAAGAAAAAGAGTAAATAATTGATTGTTCTTCAACAAAAAGTTACGTTATACGATATATATGTAAACGATTGAGATTTATTTAGGATATTTGCTGGCTAAATATTCTTCCCATGTATTAGAGTTCAATGCAATATTATTACAAGTACCATAACCTTTAGCATACGCTTTGAGCATCTTACCCATTATTGGTATAGGAATCATCAGTTTTTTTTCTTGACGTACATTCAATAATGAATCCACTATTTCTTTCATTTCATATATTTTTTTCCCACCAATCTCATATGTACTATTTAACGGCGACTGTCCTAAAATTTTATTCAGTTCCATAGCTACTGCTTCTACTTGAACAGGTTGCACCTTAATTGATTTTGGAACCATACATATTGGAAATTTTAGGAGTTTGACTGCGAAATCTTCTACGAAACCATGAAACTGTGTAGCTCTCAGTATACTATACGGAATACCGCTTGCTTTAATTAATCGTTCGCATTCTAGTTTTCCTCTATAATATGTGAAGGGAATTTTATCAATTCCTACAATTGATATATAAATAAGATGTTTAATATTTTGTTTTGGAATAGAGTCTAATAAATTCTTTGTTAAAATTACATCGGCAGGTTGACCTTGAATATTTTGCATAGGCATACTTGCAAGATGTAATATTGTGTCTATATTATTATTGAAAACTTTATTTATTCCTTTGTTTTTCGATAAGTCCATATAGAGCCATTTCGATTTTGAATTAGAATTCATACCATCATTTTCATTAATGATGTTTTTTTGATTACGGCTAGTGATGAGAAAATCTGTTTTATTTGCCAGAAATATATTAGATAAAGCTCGTCCTAACACACCAGTTCCACCAGTAACAAGTATTTTTGCCATTGTTTGTAATAATTCTATAATATTACAATATCTAAAGTAAAAAAAAAAATTATTTTGCAAGAAGCACATGAAGAGGTGTAGTTTAATGGGATTATTAGATGCTAGTAGTAATTGTTGAACTGCTTTAGACATAAATACGGTAGAAAAATGATGTGAAAATTATTGAAAGGCAATATGAATGATTCGATTTAATCAATAAAAAATATTCTCAAACTATTTGGTCTCACCAAATGTATGAAAGTAAGAAAAAGCGTTGACGCCACATGGCAAAAATTAGATATACTTGTAGAAAAAAAAAACGCAAAGAAAGAGAAAAGGCGAGAACGGAACAGATGAAGCAAGCACAACATATGAGTATTGCAATAAGAAAAAAAAAACGCAACGAAAGGAAAAAGAAAAAAAGAAATGGTACTCGCCAAATATTATTAGTTGATATTTATCTTCATATATATATAGAAATAGATCATTGTTGCAATAATTACGATAAATTGATTTCTTCTTCATTAGCATCTTATATTTAATAGTAATTATTACTTTGATAAATTAATAAGAAAAAGAGCAAATACAATATTAACTCATGAATGTTGTTTTGATATACTTTTCACTCAAAAGCAATTCCATTTTCCGAATTGACTCTTTCAATACCGAAAATAAAAGTCTGTCGAAAACTAATATATTCACAGGATCTTGCATAATGAGAAGTGCTTTGAAAATAAAGCATTAAATGGAATCAATTTCTGATAAAAAAATCAAAATCATAGTTATACATGTTATCTTGATATATGAGAAACAGGGCTCCGCATAAGATGGGATGGGACGTAAAAAATCGTGGCATGGGATCATTTTTGTTCATAGTATCCCGTGGGATGAGATTTCTTTTAAAAATCTATCATCTCATCCCATCGGATAGAACTGTGAAATAAAAATTTCTCGGTTCTACTGTAAAGCGTCGAAAGTTAAAAATATCGAATAGTAAAAATGACGCTACCTATCACGTCTTTTTTTCGACATTTTTACGTTCGACGTATTACAGTAGAACTGAAAAAATGGACAGCATAGAAACATTCAATTCACTTATCGTGCAAGTAATTTCTTATCAAGCAAGTTTCTTTGGAAGATTTTGCAAAGATATACAACTATGTTTTTTTTTGTTTTTACGTTAGTTGATCACTGAGATTGGCAATTTCATTATTCAAAAAACTGAAAGAGTAATTTAATTAGATTACTTTGCAATTGGCATCAGCATTTTCACACGAGAATTTGCTTCCATCTCCACTATCATATGAGAGTAAACGTGAATATCTGACGTCTTTCTGATTTGTATCTACACTCAAGTTGATAATTGAAAGATTGTTTGATCAATCTCAGTATATTTAAATAAATTATATTTTTTAATCAAAAAACAAAGCTTATGATTATTTGACAGTATTATTTCATCATAACAAAAAACGTACATTGTACAGAAAAAAGAAAGTAATCATCGGGCTCTATTTATTTGAAACATGTATTGTTACTAGTTTCTCTGTATAAACAATTCCAAATAGTTATGGCATACAAAAAATGCAATTCTTTATTTTTGATTGAATAGTCAAAAAAAACATCAATCAGAAGAGTTAATAAATATATTGTACGGCTTGTATAATAAGAAACATGTACTTTAGATGAAGCAGAAAACTTTTATTTATTTATTTTCATATTAATAACATTAAAGCAGAACATGGATGTGCAAATGAAATCACTAGATCTTCGTAATAGTGCTTGGTCAATGCCACGAAGTACCATTATAGGACATCAAGCTTCAATGGACACATTGATGGAACACGATATAAGCTTCAACAGTATTTCTAGCAATACTGTTGACAGACCAGATTCAAGAGAATTTAGCAGAAAAAAGTAAGAAGATGTGATAAACTAAGAAATATCGATATTTAATTTAAAATACTATATACAAAAGGTTACGATTGCCGTGGTATCTGCCTCAATGTTGTTTATCAAATGCATGCTGGGTAGGATCTATCATCGGTCCCTTAATAGGTGGTCTAATACTAGCTATAGTCATTTCGTTGTGGATGACATCAAAATCTACAGCATCGGCTCCTGTAGCTGCAAGTACAAACATGACAACTGGTAAGTTTCTACTTTTGCATTGTTCACCCGAAATACATTAGATATAGTTTTACTTAATATGATTTTTTTCTCGTCGACGAATGATCGATCTAAACCAACTATTCTACAGAAAAAAAATACTTATCGTCAGAGTCAAAGAAATATTTCAACTTTTTCAGAAAAGGCGTAGTTGAATTATATCCATCAACTAATAACAATGCATTCACCCTAAGAAATCTTACCTATAACATTGCTCTTCAGCAGTGATGCCAACTGTCATAGTCAGAAAACTGGAATTTTAATGTAAAATCCGGAAAATTCCAGAAACGTTTTTTTGTTAAATCCAGAAAGGTTTTTAATAGTTAATTTCTGTCGGCTAAAATCAGTTTCTCTAAATCTTGTTCTCAATTATACCGCTTATTATTTCAAAAAACATATCTTTCAATATATCAAAAGAAAATTAACATCAAAATTCAGAATATAATAAACTAAATATATAAGAAATATAAGCCACTGAGCCGTTGTCAAATAAAATTTTTTTTTGAGTATTAATAGATAAATATAATTTAGTTCAATAAAAATAATCGAGAATCCGGAAAAATCCGGAAGAGTTGGCAACACTGCTCTTCAGACTAAAATGAATTAAAAATTTAATTATTTATATTTTCCATCATATTACTTTAGTAACAAACGCCACCTCTGTGCCAATTAGCAGTAGTACCAGTAGTACAAGTAGTACGAGTAGTACAAGTAGTACGAGCAGTACAAGTACTACGAGTACCACGAGAACTACCAGTACTACTACGAGTACTACGAGTACCACGAGAACTACTAGTACCACGAGAACTACCAGTA